GCAAACCTATGTGGGTGGTTGTCAAAATTATGATCCCTTTTTGGGTACCTTAAATAATAGGTGCCGTATTATAATAGGGTATCCAAAAAAGGGACCATAATTTTGACAACCACCCATGTAACACAGCTTGTTTCCCTCTCTCATTAAGCTCTGAAGCGGCAAATCCTGGAGCAAGACCTCCTTTTTCCGCGCTGAAACGATCCAGTGGCTGGTTCCAGCATCTACGGCACTGGCCAGACTCTTATACTTACCATGCTCAAGCGTATATGCACTCTGCATTCGTCTTACTCCATGTAGCAACCCTGCTCAAAGCTAAACCCTACTCATGAACTGACATGAAGTCTCAGAGGTCGGTATGAGACCAGTCAGGTGGCGGCTTTATTCCGCGCTGCTTCAAGATCCTCCAGTGGGCAATCATGAGACAAGTTGGCAAAATGATGGTCCTTTTGGGGGGGTACTTTAAACACCGGGGTCCTTACTATCAACGCCATCCCAAGATGAATTACAATTCTGACAACCTTCCATGCGGTTTTGAAGGCCTTGGCCCCACATGCACCTCAACCCCAAACCCTTTCATCGCCAAACCTTTGAACCCCAAACCCTGAATGCCTCAAGTTACATTCCCGGACTTTCCATTCTTTGTTCCCTGATCGTCCGCTAAGTTGCTGCCCTCAAGTCTCCTGAGACCAAACCGACCCTAGGGTAGAAGGGGTATATCAGTGGTATAGGAGCATGTAGGGGTATGAGAGGTATTCACTGGGTAATTTAGAACCATTTCAATTCCCACTCTACGGACATCTTGGTACTATTCCCTATATGAACCACCATTTCGGGTGAGGTCGCTTTGAATTGCCCCTAAACCCTAAACCCCAGGCTCTCGTCTTTGCTTACCGGGCGTCGACATCGTCACGGACTTGGACAGCTTCAGATCCTCGAGGGCCCAGAACTGAGGGCTCAACGGCTATAGTCTAGGGTTTAGGGTTTAGGCTATAGTCCCCCTTAAGTAGATAAGGATATGGGGTACATGAGGATTTTATAAGCCATATTCCATCTACTTAAGGGGAACTATACACACGCCTCTAGCGCCAAGCTGTAGACACTCCTTGTCCAGCCCTGAGCAATTTGCCAAGCAAAACCCAAAGAAACAAGATGGCTCCGGCTAAGCCCTGAATCAAGAACCGCTTGCATTGCATTACATGCGGGTACCCTGTGTGACGGATATGACTTGCTCCATTAGATCCTATCAATTTCCACAGCTTTACCGCCTATCTCAACAACAAAGTTGCCATCCCATTTTAAATAGCCCTGAACCTCAAACTATGTCAGGCATAGTCAATAGTCTAAACTCCTGGTATCCCCCTTAAAAACGTCCCCCCATATACGTAATCCCCTACTATATAACCCCCTTTAAGGAGTTTAGACTATAGCTCATCTACACCCCAAACCCCTAAACCCCAAACCTCTCCCTCCCTGGCCCCCAGGTCCAATGGGGTTGGCCCACCTTTGCCGACTTTTGGCCTCTTGTACGTGCATACCTTGTCCCGGAAACTAACATGGAAACCCAAAAAAGGGCCTATAGAGACTAGAGTCCCTTAAAAGGGGGGGCTATATGGGTGTCCATGTTAGTGTGGGGGAGGGTATGGGGTTCAGGATTTTCGGGTTAGGAAAAGTGGGCAACCCAGCATTACCTGGAGCTTCATGGGCAATGGTAAGTGGGGTTCATGGTAGTCCTGATTTAGGTCAGGGATTGTCATCCTGTGTATATAGCCTCACACCTAGTTACCCATGCACCGACAAATGCGCCCCACACCTCCTTATTTTGATATCCGTTAATGACCGTGCGGGATGGGGAGGATCGGGGGCTTATTGCTTAGTGCTGCAGATCTACGATTGGGGGGTGGGGGGGGGGTGCTGAGTCTGCCTAGCTTCGGATTTTTGGGACTAGCTTCTCTAGTCCGTATGGTTGCTGTTTCTCAAAACTTTGAACATGGTTGCTCCGTTGATATGCAGGACGCTTAAAAAGAAACACCATCCTGGCTAATAACCGGCGACCCCTTGGACTGGAACCACAAAACCACTCGAAGCCCAACTGTTGCGTATGCGCGCGCGAATTGGGAAAAGACCCTATGCTTTTGGGGGCCCGTTGCTATGTTGACAGAAGTTCATTCTATCTTCCGTGCTTGCCGACAGAAGCCAGTGGTGGATTACGAGGTGCCTTGAACATACATTTTTGTCAAACAACTCTGTCTCTGCCATGCCCGATGTTTTGGGCAGTGCAGCAGAGGAAGCTGAGCTGGAGTATAGGGCATACAAGGGATACACTCCCGAGTCTGCCACTCTGACGGTTATGTGATTATGCGTCATGAATTAAGACTTGAGTGCGCCCGGTCTTCTTTTAAGCCAAAAACCACAAAGTAAAGGCTGCAGACTCTTTCGGAATCGATGACTCTTTCGGCATCGATCAACTGCGTCTATATATACATAGACCTATTGAAGGCAACTCTGGTGTACACCCTCCAATGACGCACATGCTTGGCTGGCTTCTGATTGGTTTGGGCACTTCTTCAAATCATGGTCCCCCTCCCCTTTATATACCACCTGAAACCGTCCTGATTTTCTGGAACCCCAAAAGGGGATCCATGTTGGGAAATCCCAATCCAACCAGTTGGCAAAATGGTGTCACATCTTGTGACAGAGCTGGCGCCAAGCCAGTGAAGCAGGTGCAGCAACGGTGAAACACTAATCCCCTTCCCCCAATATTAAACCCCCACCCCCCTCATATGAAAGAATCCCATTCTGTGGTATATTGTGATATATTGGGAGAATTTAACATTAGCGGGGTTGGGGGGGGTTCAAATTAGGGGGAGGGGATGAGGGCACTTTAGGATTTAGGGCCGCCGCCCTCAATCAAGGGTGCCCCGCTTGCACATTTAGGGTTTAGGGTTTATAGCGTTTAGGGTACTAAAGGGGCCTAGATCACCCAATATTTCCTTTTTGAGATCTTATTGCAGGTGCTCGGCTCTATGCCCTATGCCACCGTGATGCAATGGCATAATATCATTAATTAACTGGTTCTTCAAAGCCCTAGATACCACTTTCCAAAGCTAGCTTCCATTTCATTTCCCATCCATTCTCCTCCATTGCAGAAATACCCTAACCCTAGACCTATTCTAACTAGGCCCTAAACCCAAACCCTACCAAACTCAAACCCTATGAATCCTAAACAATAGAAACTCTAAATAACTGCTCCGACGAGTTCAGACTCCTATGCTCAAGCAATTTGAGGCCTTAGCCGGCCGTCCTTGTGTTGGAGTTCTGAACAAGGGGGCCCCAGGAATGCGAAGGGATCCGAGATGATCGTGGTTTAGGGTTTAGGGACCTTCTCAGGGATTGTTCTGCGAAATCCTGATGTATTCGCGTGGCAGGTTCAAAAATCTGCCCCAATCTAGATGCCAATTTAGTCCTTATTAGAGACTCCCAACTCTCCACGTATTACAGATATACTTCGAACCGCAACACGAATGCTTAAACATATTCAGCCCTTAAATAACCCTCCAACCATACAGCGTCAACACATAGAATCCGATAATCATCGCTACTGGCTACGTTTAACTTGTCATAATTTCAGAGCTTGAAAGAAGGCCATGGTGGTAGCATTGTCCACTTACCGCATCGCCATTTTGGGGTCGTTATAAATTGCCTTGGGCTGTGGGAGGTAAGGCTTCGATTCCGTTCGTGTCAGCTACTTGGGAGTTTCTCAAGAAGGCCTCTATAGAATCCTGAAAAGGCTTGCATCCTCATTATCTCCCTAAAGCCCCTAAGGGCGCTAGATTTTGCGAGACCCCTATAGATCTCACATCGCCTCAGCCTCCTTGAAAGGGTGGCGGAGGACACAAGATTTTGAGAAATCCCCAAGTCACGTAGATGAGCTCAGGATCGACTCCAGCGAAAGGCAGTCACTCATGACAAGGGCGGCCTCTGACAGGGGGGAGTTTGACAGGTTGCAGGGTTTGGAGTCTGAATTTTGGGGTTCCGGCTGTAGGGTGTAGGGCCAGAAACGGGTAAGAAAGCCACGTGCACCTAGGCTCCAGTTTTGGTCTGCCCCAGGATAACCCCAGGCTGCTTGCAGCATTCAGCTCTGAAAGCTAATGTCGCAATTTTGTTTGCTGCCGCTTTCCATAGCGGATCTCGGTTTTGAGGACTTGAGGCGAGGGATGTCATTGACATAACGGCTCCTACTGGGTTTATGGACGACTTGCTCCGAATGCATCAGGCAGCAGTTTCGAACCAGAAGGGCGGCTTGCCTTATATAATCTCCTCAACTAACCTTCCCAGGTCTCCGGCTGCATGTCTGTGCATTTTATAGACGAGCCCGCCTGCGCGAGGCAAAGTCGATCTCGGAGCCTCCGCTTAAACTCTCTTCTGAACCCTCTGTGAATGGGAGCCACAGAATGTCAGGGAGTCGGGTCAAGGGATCTACGCTACTGGGGGGACTCCAAGATACTCCAAGTAGGCTGAGCTCCATAGCGGTTTTATCAACCAGGGTTCTTTGCAGGGCTTTCCTGCGATCATTCGGGTTATAGTCTAAACTCCTAGTATGCCCTTAGTAACCCCCCTAATGCTCTCCTATAGAATTCTCGATCTAACCCCTCTTAAGGAGTTCAGACTATAACTCATCTGTAATTATCCTGACATCTGCGCTTTACTTGCGATCCTTGAGTCGGACGGAGCCGGACGTTAACGGGATTCCATTCAAGGGAGTAGCTGTCTGAATCGGAATCACCTCGCCAAAAAATATCCTCGCAGCGCACCCCAAGTCACAATAAATGTTTCCCATACTGCAATACACTACCATCATAAGCAACAGGAGCATTCATTCTTAGTGGGGCCGGGGGCTTTATCCTTATTAAGGCACAGGAGTACTCCCATACTAGCTGAACCCAAAATCCTAAACCCAAGGCCCCGAGCCCTAAAGCCCAATCCTCCCAAAGCATTCCAGCCTCGGGTCTTTGGGCTGGAGTTTAATGCCGCCATTCTGGGGTCCATGTCATAGTGGAGGTCGAAGTCCCACTTTAGCAGCCGTTCCTGGGATTCAGGGTTTCGGGTTTCTGGCGCTGAGTCAGAACTGCGTCTGCCGTGCGACGCTTACAGCTCGAGCATTGGTTGCACACCTCAAACCCCGAATCGCCACACTTTAGCAATGAACTGCCCTCTCCAGACATGTTATTACCGTTACTGAGCTGCGCCTCTGAAGACAAAGAAAGCACGCTTTCCCATGTGGATGTCTTTAGCGCAGCGCAACCCACAGTTGGGCCAGAAAATTGTATTGAACAGTTGCAGCTCCACCTACTAGTTGCAGTTACAGGCTATAAGAAGATAGATAGTGGAATCTGAACGAAGGAATTTCTGCCATTCGTGTTCCCCTTGTACCCCCTAGAACAGCTTGTACTACACAAAGGCGACCGCAATTTTGAGAAGCACACCAAATTACGAAACGGACGCTTCTGCCGCGATGCTCTTTCAATCTGCTGATGCACGCGATCAGATGCTGCCTGCTCTGCCGGTGCAGGGTTCATGCTGCAACTTGCCGGTTTTCAGTAGGGCATGAAGCAATGAAAAACAAAGTGGACATAACTACAGGGCATTGGTGGCAATCATATCGGGTCTACAACAAGGATTCATTCCCCTATTCCCTGGTAACAGCCAGCAAATTAAACTTTATACTTTAGACGCTGCCTTCTCTTCGTGTTCCTGTTTTCCTTCTTTCTGGTTCTCTTCATTCGTGTAGAATTCAGGGTTTACGGACTTCGTGCTCAGGACTCAGGGTCCGGGATCACGCAGGCTCCTCAAACATCGTTCATGAGTCACAACATATCACGCTATAGTAGAGGGGCGAGCAGTGGCCGCAGTAGTGTTGCCTGGTTCTGGCTGCAGAAACGCTACCGCCCTGAGCACGCACCCCTTGACAAGCTCTTCTCATGGTTCTCGTAGACCCTCACTAGAGGCTCTTTTTTCTGAGGAAACATGCTCCAAGGAAGCACAGTGTGGTCTCGGACAGGCTCTGGCCTGTAGAGTAGCTTCCGACGGGTCGAGAAGAAACACGGGCGTGCCCTTTGGAGAGGACGGCGATGCCAATCTGCAGAGCAAAGACGTGCAACGCATTGGCAGAAGAAGGTTTTAATTCTCAGGGTTACCGCGATCACTGCGAGTGCCGCGAACTCATCTGACTCAAGCAATCCGAACCCTTACCATGAGGAACCCCTCCATGTGTTGCTGAAATACATTATGCCGCGACTCATTGATCAGACTACTATTGCTATCTATCTCATTCCCCCTTGCAATATTACCACCACCGTGCCCCCTTGGAGTACATATTCCAAAGAAGTACCTGGCATGGCCCCAGGTTGCGTTTCTCACTGCAAAAATGAAGCTTTTCTGCCAAGAGGCAGCCGAAGAGAGGGTGATTGTGGTGGCAGAGGAGAAGTCGGAACTGGACCTGGCATTCTGGGTACTACGGGGTACCATCTCGAGGTCTACTCGAAATACCCTCTAGCAGATCTATATACAAGAAAGCTAGGACTGTAGTATCATTTTGGTACTTATCTGGGCCTAAACCCTAAGCCCGTATGTCAGCGATTAAGGCTTTGGAGGTCTGGGGCTTAGGGCTCTCATGTACAAAGTCACCACCCGCCGGACAACGAAGCCCCGATTTGACCCGAGTTTTGGTCTAGATCCTGAAGTTTGAAGGCTTAATATACTATAGTAATTTCCATTTTCTTTTCCATCATCCCCACGTAGCCCCTATATATGCGCATATAGACCCAAGATACCATATAGTAGTTTCCACGAAGGGCCAGGTAGCCGCAAGGCTTGCCTATATAAAGCTCATCTACCTTCTCAGAAAAAGCTGATAACCTCAACGCAAGTCAGAACTAACGACTTCATGGCAAGTCAAGAATTACGCTTTCTATCAAAGCCTGCTATGTGCATGTGAGCAGTATCGAACAGCATAGAACTCCTTTAGCATCAGCAGCTCCTTCCCGGATAAACCTCCATACCATACCTAACGCAATGGCGACCAACGTTGAAAGTCTTCGACCCTGAAAGCAAATCTTCATCCTTGGGCCCTACATCGCAACATACCAGCGGCCTATACCTTCCAAAAACAACAAAAACCATCATGTTTCTAGTCTCATTACACGTTTCATTGCTACTGCTACCGCCGCGACCGCGGTTGAGATTCTAGTTGTGCCAGTACAAATACGGCTACTGCTGCGTTTTCTGCCACTACTTCTATGGACTACGAATTTCCGCGCACTAGGATATTACTACCCACAGCATCCCACAGCCCTCTAGGATCCAAAAAAGTCGAGCCTTGCAAAGTGACCCCATTACTAGATTGGTGAAATGAGGGGATTCTTGGAAGGTTTTTTCTGGAGGATCCTTTGGGAATCAACTTGATGGCCCGAACCCTGTAGTACTTTCCATCTTCCCTTCCATTATCTACCCCTGTGAATCCCATTAAAGAGGGTATGACCCCCTATGAATGCTCCCCTAGCCTCTAGGGACAATCCGAAACTAGGCATAGTCTGTTGTCGTCGTTTTGTTCTCATTCTTGCTGAGGCTGTCGGGAGAGCAGGACCAGCAGCAGTAGCAGTAGCAGTAACACGACGGATGCGAGAACTTCTGCAAGACTCTAAGTACCCTAAACCTTGGGAACTACAGTATATTGAGGCTGTGCAGGATTTCAAACATCAGCGGTAGCACCACAGCAGCGCAGAAGCACTGACGGTAGTGACCTCCGTACCCCCTAATAACAAATCAGGAGCATTTACTGTCAGGATTCATGCCCTTAACCCCTACTGCTGCCATCAACATCTTTATGATCATCAACGCCAAATGCACCTGTTCTTCTTGTGGCTACCGACCTTTTTGCCGAACCCTCCGCCCCAAACCCCTGAAACTCCTAAACCTCATCCCTAGCCCCCTGGGCCTGGAGGCTTTGGCTCCTTGTCAACCTCATTTGCCACCACACCGGCGGCACCTTGGCCGGCAAAGCGTCTACAAGGATAAGGATTCAGGCATTTCAGGTTACCAGGTTTACGCAGGCAGCTAGCTTCCTTACAGCAGGAGCGGTGTCAGATGGAAGTCTTGATGCAGGTTCATAGCTAGCTAGCTCTCATCATCATCTCCTTTGGATATCGAAGATGCTCCATGCGAGGCCCATGTATTTTGCAGCGTGGCCACTTCAAATTGCAAGCTTAGCCTCAATTACGCTGCTACAGCGCCAAATGCCAAAGACCCCGGAAAAATGCCAGCGCGTACAGGCAGCATAGGCAATACAATCTTGAACAATGGCACTCGCGACCTTAACTACTTGCCGCTCAAGCTGCCGATGACGCTATAGGAGGTCTTCGAAAGCCGGTGCTGACCTACTTACATCCTTGCCTACTTACTTACTTACCTACCTGCCTACCTACCCACCTGCAAACTGCCTGCTTTGCTGCTTTGTCCCTACCCATGAAGCTCCAAGCAGACAAAGATAAGCTCCCAACCTTGGTTCTGCGGCCTTCCGGCTCTTGCGTTCACTGCGGAGCCTCTGCATCCGGGAACATATGCTTACTTTGACTGAGGGCCCACGGCGTCTGGTCCCGGAGTCATGGTTGACGGTTTCGGGTGGCAGCTGCTCGTAATTCTTAAATGTGAGGAGGGGACTTGGGTTGACACTTCCGAGCCCGAAGTGGAGACTACGCTAACGTTCAGGCCTCAAGTAGTTACCTCCCCATTGATCACCACATCTGAGAAAACCGCTAAATCCTGAGGCAAAAAGCCTGCTAATACGGTCTCAGGACAGCTCCCCTCATAAAACACAGTCTGACTCTCCAAGTCTCCATGAATGCCGACAGCTCTTGACAAGGATTCAAGATAAGATCTGGAAAGCCGTGGTTATGATCAAACGACTCCTAGTCCTAGTTGTGTTTACAACAAAGCCCAAGACCATCCCTTGAACAGAGACAAATCGGATGACATCAAGCCAACATTTTTTTAATGGTGAAGAGCCCCTACAAAGTCAGATGTCACATAAGTGAGCAACTCCCAACTAATAAGCTTCAAACATATGTACCAATATCATAACATTACAAGACACATGGCTTAACGAAGGTCATGCAAACGCCAAGATAAGATGCCTATCAAACATGACATGAATCTGGACGTCACTGTTTGATCATGTAATAGACTCAAGATTAATCTACCTTGTCTAATAACCCTCCGCCTCAACCCTGCTAATCAGAAATGTTCCATGATGTGTAATGGCACTATATTTGGAACATTCACCATATGATCCCCATGCCGTCCCAGTTTCTATGTCATTTTCCACATTCAACATTCCTTTCCATTTGATTCTCCACTAGTCTAACTGGGTGGCTTATTCAGGGGGTGTCTGGGGTTGTCTATTTTTCAAGGTGCGATGAGAACTGAAGAGCCAAAGCTACGGTCAGATTGTCCCAAAATGTTCCCAAGAACAGTAACGAAAAATGATAATGATACAGGACCCATAAGGGGTATGGCTAGAAGGTTGACAGTGAGCCGAAGCCCTAGAACTTTGAATCCCACAACCCTAAACCCTCATTGTGTCTGGATGCTGCTGCTAGGTGATGCAGCTGGCGACGCTGCCGGCGAGCCTCTTTTCTTTTAGGAGGGATGTCACAACTGCTGTCTAGGGAGTGGAGACGAACGCGCTCTGCTAGTTTACGCCGATAATGATTGAATTTAGACTTCGTACTTGCAGCTGCGCGGAAGGAGGATTTGTCGAGGGGGAAGGTTACAAACATGCATTGGTGACATGCAGCGATGTTGTTCCTACATAGCTGGTTTTCATTCCGAATGTTGACGCTGAAGCCCGGCCTATTCCTTGAGAAAATGCAGAGGTCTAGATCCTTCTGGAATTCATGAGGCTTTCCTAGCTACCCTCAACAATCATCTGAAGCCCTGAGAATCCGCACCAAATCCCTGAGAATCTTTGAAATAAATACTAGAGGCCTCATAACCAACAATATGCATCTGATGGTCAGCTCCTCATAAAGCTTCCTACCCCCACCAAGCCTGGATCTTTCTTGCCGGCTTGTTCGGCCTCATTGCCCCTGCCTGTTTCAAGGTGCTATCAACTTGCCGGTCCTTGTTGGCTTCTCAGATTTGCGTCTGCATTTGGAAGTACATCATGAGTGTCCAGCTACAGCTGTTAGGCTTACAGGGGGTTCTTTATTCGTCTTTAGTGCAAGATTTTGAATCTACATGAGCCATTGTCTAAACTCCTAGTATCCCCCTTAATAAGCCTTATAGCAGTCCCCTATATAACCCCCTTTAAGGAGTTTAGACTACGGCCTACATGAACTGTCACTGTCAGCTTGAAGACTGCTCCGGGCGGGTTGTGTCGGCTGTGGGGACAAATCTCGCGTGGAGGGTGGCCAAACAAAAAAGCATTGAAGTCCATGAGAAGACGGGCTTCCTTCTTGAAGCACCCTTTATTGGGATAATGGAAAAGAGAATGGAAACTACTACAATGGAGAATCAAATGGAAAAGAAAATGGAAAATGAAATGGAAATTGGTAAATTAAAGCAATGGGCTGCCCACTCCTTTGCCACAAAGTCTAAGTAGAGTCTTCACATCAAAGCGACTATTCCATGCAGGTCGTCCTCAACAACGGGCAACCCAAGACTGAGATCTTGAGGGACCATGCCACAAATATGTATTGCTGTGGGTACTAACTACCCCGCCTTGGTTCCCCTTGATTGGCCAAAATTAGCCCTAACTATCCTTGTATATATCCTGAATCAAGGGGAACCTGTAGGGGTACTTCAGGGGCTTTGGAGGAGGGATATGGAGCGTATGGGAGTCCGCTTCGTAAGTCTACTTAGTAACAGGGGCTAGGCGGCCGATAACAGTGGCTGTTGCGGATAGTTAGTAAGCTCACTAAATCAAACTACAAAGATGGGCTTCACACAGCATCTTGGAAGCCCTCTACCTGGCAGTGTCCATCAATAGGGAGCTGAATTACACTTGGGCAAAATGTTTTTTTAAAGAAGCCTTGAACAATTTTGGGACGCCCCTAATCCCTCCCCTGAGAATGCACCTCCCTAACAATAACACCCCCAATACGGTACACTTATTAACCGGTGGAAAAATCTTTTCATTAAGGGGGAAGTGGAGGGTTGATACTGGGTACTGCCCCCACCTGTAACGGTCTATATTAGCATACTAAGGGCTATATATATATATAACTATATAATGACCATTCTCCAATCGTTACAGAGTTCCTAACCCCAAATCCTAAACCCTAGTGCCCATCTATATGATTATACAGTGAACATGACCCAACTGTTACAGAGCTCTTAACCCTAAACCCTAGTACCCACAGCTTTTTATTAGCGGGAGGTGGTTCTAGATCCTGGCCTTGTGGGGTGTCCTTTTCGTCGGCTTGCCTACCGCATCCTGACGAAACTCCGCCCAAGGTACTCTGGATGTATCTATCTCGCCTAAGATAGGGGCTTCCCAAAATTAGTACCATTTTGGAGGTCCCCAGAATAGGATTATCATAAACGACCAGGTACTTACAATATGCAGTTCTTAAGGACTCCTAGCAGGTGACGAAGGCCTCTTGAAAACTCTCAGATCTTGCTGCCTGCTTTGGGACCCTGGCAACGATTAGGATTTCAGATCCCGCTAGGCTTGAATATGCACGATAAAAAACTCATTCATATATGGAGCGCTCGAAGGTAAGGCCTCAAGTTTATGACATGTGCTTGACGTGCACAAGACTTATGTAGGTGATGCTGGCAGCGATTGAGGCCCCCACAGCGTTCAGAATTAGTGTGGGCTCTGGAGCTGCTAGCTGAAGCGTGTCGCTATAACAAGAGCGGACAAACAAGCTCCTTGTCTCTGGGACCTGAATATGATACGTGTTGTTCTTTCCTTCCGCCCTTCACTACCCTTCATATGTACAGCTGCGTACTGACCTAGACGCTGTGTGAGCACGCTCAGGCCTGTGAAAGTCGCAAAGTTCTTACCCGCTGTCCCCTCACGTCTTGTTTAAAAGCACTTGGTCGCTGGCTTGGGCTGGATAAACGAAGTCATCAAGGGCTTGTCGCGCCGGACTTTGTCGCAAAACCAACCCTGTGTACAAACCATTTGTCGCGGGAGGGTCCATCCAAGTCCTGTCCTGTTATACTATAAGCCGACTTGTTTTGGCCAATGCTTCGGCTTTGAGAATATTGGTAGTTCATGAACACTCCTGGAAAGGTTGCAAAAGCATGGGGTCATCGTATAGCTGTAATATATAATATAGGGTGCCTCAAAGAAACCTCAAACTGATATTGCTTTTTATTAGCCCCTTAGGGCGAAGGGATTTGCTGGGCTTGGGGAGTGAGTCCTCTGCACGGGCGTCAAGGCTTCATAGTCCCCTTATACTAGACTGATCTTCAACACACCCCCACCCCTAATATTAAATATGCCCCCTCACAAAAAGTTTCTCATAAACAGATTTAGTGTTGGGGGTAGGGGGGGGTTGTTTAATAGTAGCATGAGGGGTAGCCCTTACTTTAAACCCTTTTGCAACAGGCTAAACCTAACCCCTAAACCTCTAACCCGAAAACTTGCTTAGTAGCAGTAAGGGGGGATCATTAGATTGTCACTGCCCGCAACCCTAACACCCAGATCTTCCGACAAGGGCTTCAGGCGTTGCCTTGAGGATCTATCGGGCGGTTAATACTAAACATGCTGCATCACCAAGTACTTATACCACTCGGAAGTATGGTGAACTCTCGTCTACTGAAATCATGCAGGATGGGTCTAGAACCCTAAACCCTAAACCCCTAAACCCCTAAACCCTAAACCCTAGGGCCTAGTCTAGGCTTCAAAGCTCAGATTTTGTGTTCAAGTCCTGTACCTTGGCTGAACTTAGGTTTGGGAAATTGAGGACTGACCTGTGTACAGGGGCTTAGGGTTTAGGGTTTAGAGTTTAGGGTTTAAGGTTTAGGGTTTAGGGTTTAGGGTTTATGGTTGTGTACAGGGGTTATATAGGAGCTATATAGAAATATAAAGCTGTATTGCAGAGCGCGCGTGTTATCCTGAATAGCAACTACAACAGACCATAGGTTGCAAGCTGAGCGATATGACCATAACATAGTCTGGTTCGGAATGCTAATACCACTAATACTAGCCTAATACTAGTACTAATAGTAATAAACATATCAATAGTAAGAATAATAATAGTTGCAATGGTAATACTAATGAATGATATTTTATAAGGTCACATGAGAAGTTCTGGTCACATGAGAACATTTATAGAGAAGCCCCAGCCCCCAAAGCCTAAACCCTACACCCAACTCCCTTAACTCTAAACTCTGAGCCCTACCTGAACCCGAAACCCTAACTAGTAGTTTCTATTTTCTTTACCATTGTCCCTATCTAGTCCCTATATTACCCTATATAACCCTATATAATCCTATACCGTACGAAGCCCTAATCCTGTAGGCTCCTGCTTGCAATCGCAGGTCTTCCATTCTCTGCCCGAGCTGCCTTGGGTTTTGTAAAGCAAGATTTGATACCCTCGAAAGGGATCTATAGGGGTTATATAGGGTTACATGGGGTAATATAGGGTCTGCTTGAAGGTTCCTCCGTAATCAAGGATATCTAGGGATGTATAGGGATACAAAACGATTCGTATGGTTTGAGGCTTCGATCGGGGCATATCTAACTAGACTAATGGAAAACTAGACGGACAAGAACATGAAACATGACATGGACAATTGGTCTCACATAGCGGCTTATAGGGATTATGATAAGGATCATGAATTGGGTGACTTGGAGGTTCAGGGTGCACAAAACCAAGTTATAAGATATAACTACAATCAAACTGGCAGGCATTTATATAAGTCTAAACGGGTTTAAGGTAATCATAGCCCAATTATAAGGGGTATATATGTAGGTTTTATAGGTTTTAGGGTTTAGGGTACCTATACCCCAGCTATTCAGGGTTTTTACAGCACAAGGTTGTTTGAGCCCAGTTCTTAGGGGTGTATGCAGGGTTGTCATCTGGGGGGTATATTTATAGCGTTGACGATAATTATAGCAGGGCTAGAACTGTAGTCTCTGCAGTTGTAACCCCCCAAAAAAATAGGGGACTTAGGGGGCTTTTTATGTACTTGGTTCCAAATAGTACGTCTTGGGGCCATTGGGCTGAAAAAGGCAGGCTGAAGCAGGGGTTCTGTTGGTCACGTAGATATATCTACGAGGCGATTGTGGGTTTCATAGGGGCTGTGCGGATGTACCTGGAGAGCCATGGGGAACCATGGCGGACCACTTGAAAGTTGTATGGAGATGCTGTCGGTCACCTGGTGCAATAATGAAGAAGCACTCAATGAGTTCGAATTTGAAGCAGACCCTAGTTCCCAGAGCTGTTGCAACTGGCTGGCTAGTCTAAGGCTAAGGGCACCAGGGTCAACGCCAGGCATGCTGAAACAACTTGAGGCAAGCGGGTCCTTGGTGGTCGTACCCTGAACACAGAAGCTAAGCTCGTGCGCAGTCCGCAAGAATGGTGGGTCAAAAGCTTGCGGTCTCAGACACAGAGCATTTTTGAGCAGCTCATCCTGCCCTACTTGGAGGCGGGAGCGTACTCAGCAATCTAGATGAGACCGCAGCGAGGTCCTGCTGTTAGAATCGTTACAGTGTTGGGCCCTCCATAAAAGAACTTGACTCGAACCGCTACAGCGGCAGCTCTTGCATGCTTCCATGGGAGTTTCTGAAACTGGGGCGCCGCGATATAGACTCCGATATAGTAGAGTGCTATTGTAGGGACGCCCATGTAACATTTGGAAACCCCATATGAGCCATAGTCTAAACTCCCATTATCCCCTCTCCACCCCTATAGTAGTCCCCTGTATAATCCCCTATATAGCCCACTTTAAGGAGTTTAGACTATAGCTCATATGTGGAGTACGGTTCCCTTAGTAGTCCAAGCTTCGTCAGCTGTCCCACCATGGAGCGCAGAAGGATTTCCATGCGGCGGTCCTGCCATGCACGCTGTCCAGGCGTTTAGAATGTGGGTTAAGGTTAAGGGTTTCTATAATGAAAGAGCCCGCATCCTTACCATTGGGACCCCTAGTTTCTGGAAACTCCCAGGCACAGTTTTTTTAAGCTCCTGGGCAGGTCTCTCTGGGAGAGCCCAAATGGAACTACCCATGAACCAGTAAGTTTAAGGGGACGGTATGGCCCCTGCAGGCACATGACCTTAATCTGGGCAAGCGACTACGTGGTCAGGCTCTTGAATCCTTTACAAATTATTGGCTTCCTTGTATTGGCTAAGATCCTTGAATGAATTCCTATTGCTATTACGTAATATTGATGCAAAGCAAAATCCACCAAGCTCTAGCCCTCAGAGCGCTATTGGATTAATATCGAGTAGCTTTGTTTATGTAAGACCTTCACACGCGGGAAGCTGTAAAAAGACTGCGCTACTGTTAAGGAACTTAAGCTGAGTTACCATAATGGGATTAATAATTCATATCGTTTCCCTATATAGTAACTTGAAACCCTAGGACCTAAACTCTGAAAAAAGCAGCTCCTGAGCCTCGATCTGTGCTAGCTTGGCCTTCATGCGACGGTTCTCCTTGCAGCAGAAGGTCATGAAGGGATGTACGCTACCTCTTTTTTGAAGAGCGGAGGCTTATGCGAGCCAGTTGGCAAATGATTCCCACACTCACAGATTCAGCCCGAGCAGTTCGAAGCGCATAGGAGGGCAAGAGGAACCAGACCAGAAGACTTCCTCTGGGCTTTACACCTTACAGTCTATCTCCAAAGCAGACCAAGGCCCAGAAAGCCCAAACCTTCAGGGCACCGTTGCACCGTTGCGAATATGTACGCCATGTACGCCCAGAGCCGAAGCAATGCTTGGGAGCCCTGCTGCCTGTTCTCAGTCGAAATCCTTCAAATTTGAGCCAAGCCTCTAGGACGAAGATTCAGTGCACTTTCTGGCATGCGAAAAGTAGGATGTGCACGGCTACAGTAAGATAGTAATCTATTCATAGTCCCGCTGGTGACTATTGTCCTGCCTGTGTCCCTCATAGTCAAAGAGCATGAACCGTAAACCTACCCCAAAAAACAAAATCAGTTTTGGCATGCTATAGGGATTATATAGGAATAATGGACAAGAAAATGGAAACTACTTTAACATAATTGGGTCATATAGGGTCAGTATAGGTGGTTATATAAAGGTAATGGAAAATAACATGGAAACTACTAGTTGAGGGTTTAGGGTGTGAGGGTTTCGTGAACAGCATGTAGCGCTCGTGGCTACAGCTACAGTGCAGCGCAGTTTCTTGGCCATTCAGGATGATATCTTTGTGTCCAGGTTGGCAACCCAAGTAAGGATTTCTCCTTGCGAGATGCCTCCAGCGCCGAACCACGAACCCTGAACACTAAGCCCCAGAGCCTTTTTGAACCTGGGAAATATAAGGCTGCCAGGAAGTTGGAAGCATGGGACGCTGAACCCCCACACCTCCAAACCTGAACCCAAAATCCAAACTCCAAACCCCTTACACCTTAGTTGAAGACCCCTATGCCGTGCGGCATACTGAAACCGTGTCCTCTGCTTCGCAGGCCACGTCGATCGTCCGGGCAGGCCCCCGCAAATGCAGCACACCTGGTTCTATCGCAGCAAGGGCGCACCTTTCCCTTCAAAAATATAATGGTGAAAAGGGCACAGCATTGATCTGGGTTCTTTGTTTGCAACAGGGCCAACAGGCTTTAGGATTTGGGGGGGACCCCAAGAATGCAACTTCTGCATTTGGCCTGATGGATGCCATTGTGTGGCAGCAGAATTCAGAGTCCTGCCTACTTAAGCACTGAGCCCTTGCAATCGTCTATGAACATCGCCATCACCACCCCTATGATACTTTCAGCCCGAACCGTAAACCCGCGGTTTAGGCCCTATAGGGTGGAGCTGCTAACGGACAACCTTTAGGAGTTTCTGAAGACAACCTGCAAGAGAGGCCGTTGCTCATCCAAATTATCTGAGGGCAAACTCGAAGCTCTAATACAAACAGAGACCAGGAGCTCTGTTGGCACTGCCCTTTGCAGCTAGAAGTATGGGCCCGCAGTGTGGGTCATCAGTCTTCCACTTGTACTCACCCTTTATGTTGTATAAGATCCGTACAGGACCGCTGATACAGCATCGCCTTTGAAGAAAGCTGTCTTCAGCCAAGATGAACTATACTTTCTCCTGCAGGTTGGGGTATGTCGCGAAACATGCCCTACACATGCTTGCCTCATTTGGCCGCCGTCACGGCATCTGTAGCTCTAAAGCGTTACATTCTGAAGGCTGCATGCTGAAGACATGCGTGTGAGACAACCCAACAAGTGCCGAACATGTGGGGGAGCTTCTGAGGATGAAGGGCCAGTAGGGTCCCGAGAATATTTGGGGACTTCGCAAGAATTGGGGGACCACAGCAACACCACAAGTTGACGTAGGAACACTGATAACTATATCAGTGACCTTCAGGCAGGTATTAGTACACAAACAATACTAAAATGGGGTTTCCAACAATCAGCAATACGTATTTGGGGCTTCCTATTGCAAGGGGTGATTGAGCTATATAGGGGGACGCAAATTTTGAAGACATCAACATTCGGTACCTGCATGACAAACATCCCACGAATCCAGTAGCATGTGGAAACTAGTCACAGCTGTCACCCGCCTTCAATGAAATCGTCCTCTGTCACGTCCCCATCACCGTCTGTGTCGAGCAGCCGGAAGAAGCCTTTGTTGCTTAGCACTCACTCTAGGGTGGCCACATGCTTCATAAGGAACCCTGTCGGTCAACAGAAGGAAGCAGAATTCACATCTTTTGTCTGCTTAGCAGGCATAGATCATCAGGTGCCTACGATATGTTGCATACGAAGGCCAACACAAACAATGCGAGCGTACTTTGAGTTGAAATTCCGATATTCTCATGGCGAATCTCTGTACATCCCTGGACGACAGCTCCTCAACTGACGTCTACTAGGGGAACCTCACTCATTGTCTTCCTCAGCTTCGCTTTCCACTGGGCAATCGTGGCGATCCTGGCATCCATCGCACAGCAGTGCGTCGCACCTCCCGCATTCAAAAGCATGCCGCCCGCAACATCCGTGCCAGCTATCCGTTCCACTGCACTCGCATCGCAAGGTCTTGCCCTCCGCAAAGCACTCAAAGCAGTGTGACTTGCTGAAGTCCGGGCAGTCTTTGCATGGAACAAAGATTTTGTCGGGACCGCGCTCTGCGCATTCATCACACCAGTTGCCTCCGCACTGCTCACAACTAAAGGCATCACCCCCGAGGGCAATCCATGTCGTACACTTGTCGCACTTGGCGATTTCATTGTTCCCTACAAACTTTACCCAAGCAAAAATTTCAGGAAAGTACTCCCTGCTGCTGCGCCCGTCTCGCTCGGGCCATGGAACTTTACGTCCATCTTGATCCTGCAGGTCTTCTGCCATGTAGTGCTTGCACAAGCTTTCCCATAGCTGAGTCCCCTCAACATGTTGAAGGACTTTGTTAGCAACTTGCTCTGCCCTTGCAAGTTCCACGCCATCCAAGCAAGGAAGAACGTGCTTGAGGCATCTCTCCCCCATCTTACGATCAGGTCCAGTGGGGGCACAAATGCAACTTCGAAGTCAAGTGCGATACGTCCCTAACTCTGGCTGCCCAACTTGAGCCGTAAATCAGCAACCGTTCTGCGGATCTGAGTTGTACTTTTAGAGCAAGTGGTGTAGCTTGCAAAGCAACATATTGGATAGTTCGGGCTAGTTTGATCCGTGCACTGTAGGATTGACACTGTGTGGAACCAGATCCCAGGGGGAGCCCCTGACTTGTTTGCCATCTCCCCTTCTTTGATCTGTAATACGCTTTAACCCGGGTTTCGCGTGACAGCCGCGTATATGAGTCAAACTATCAAGGCAAAGCAAGTGAACAGCAGCCCACAGCAATTCTTCCCGGCCATGAAGATTGAATGTACATCGCCCAGATGAGTAGTGTCTTCTTGGTGATTGAACCTAGTAAGATCATATTCCTTATATAAATACTATACCCCAAAAGGAGGATAGAATCTTATTCTATATTGGGTACCATAGTATCCCCCCCAAAAATGCTACTCAGATATCTAGTGCCTTCTGACAACGGGGTGTCGCGTCATCACGTAGGAGGGGATCATGCGCTGCCTGAACTCGTTGCAGTATCCATGCGGTGGGTGCATGAGACGGACAAGGCAAATCTTTTGAGCATCCATGTGTAAGACGTGCAAGATATGAAGCTGACATCCCAAACGCCGTCGCAAAAAATAACGGGGCCTATACAAAGCGGACATTATAAAACCTGGGTGAAACTTTCCTCCAGGCAATTTCATTTGTTGAAAGGTCTACCTTGGATCCAGCCAATTCAACCACAAACTCCACAAATTCGCTTGAACTTCTTCCAAAAATTTGCTTTGATATCTTCTTCTACCGAACTTTAGGGAAAGCTCACGTGGGGAGTTCCTTACGCTTGAATCCTCCAAGGGGACCCCGCTAACTTCATTGTAGTAAACCCTAAACCCTAAACCCTCCTATATGGTGGTTTCCGTAAATAAGGGGACCCCAATATAGACCCCAATATACTATAGTCCTTATTATGAAGACCCCCAAAAAAAGGACCCCAAATTTTGGGAACCCCCCATATAGACTCCTAGACCCTGAGCTCCTTGGACAAGGCGCGCCATGCGTCGGCCTCTGAGACTTCCTTGTGCCAAGACGGGCCGTTACAAAGGAGCATGCATAAGGGTTATGGTAGTTTCCCAAAATAGAGAGACCCCAATCTAGACCCCAAAATACTATAGTCCTTATTATTATAGGGACCCCCAATGGGAAACCCCCTTATTATTGCTAGGAGGATGTGATTACATGAAGCCCTAACTGATCAGAGGCCTGACCTCTGGCTGAAAATACCAACAATCTGGAACATTCTCTGCCAGGATTTACATTGACAAGTCTTGGGATCAAGAAAATTCTGCTTGAACCCTCAAACCTAAGCCCCAAACCCTGAAACC